TTTATATAATATTTGCAAATTTATATTATTTTACTGCATATATATAAATTTCAGCTTGGATATTTAAAGCTAATATTAACATTTATTTGTCTAATATTTATAAGATATCAGCATCGAAAGCAATATGAATTTTTCTATATTTCAAATTACAACTAAAAGCTATATACTCTAAAATATCCATGTTTTTCAAATTAATCTAACTCAACATAATCCCCATCCTCCTCATATTCTCTACTGCTAGGCATATTATAGTGGCATTGACGCTTGGAAGAAGATTTGATCTGAGAGGATTTTTATAGAGTACTTCTAGATGAAATATCATACTCATGATGATTAGACGCAGTTCTTTTCTTTGATACTTTTCTGGTAGACCCAGAGTATGATCTTTTCTTTGATGCTTTTCTGGTAGACCTGGAATTACTTGAATTTGAATTATAGAATAATTTAATAAGACATAACAATTGACCTTTTAAATATCAGATGCATATATACCCTTGTTTGAACCTAGAATCATTGCTGGACCTAGCATTGTTGAACCCAAAATTGTTGTTATCAGTATCAGATTCTAAATTGTTATTATTAGACTCAGAATCTTCATTGTTAAGCCCAGAATTATCGTTGTTGGACCTAGAATTGCCTTTGCTGAACCCAGAATTATTGTTATTATTGGACCTAGAATTGTTGCTATTGTTGCTGTTGTTGCTGTTGTTGCTATTGTTGCTGTTATTACTGTTGTTACTGTTGTTGCTGTTGTTGTCATTGTTGCCGTTGTTGCTGTTGTTGCTGTTGTTGCTGTTGTTGCTATTGTTGCTATTGTTACTGTTGTTGCTATTGTTGCTATTGTTGTCATTGTTGCTGTTGTTGCTGATGTTGCTGTTGTTGTTGTTGTTGCTATTGTTGCTAATATTGTTATTGTTGTCGTTGTTGCCATTGTTGCTATTGTTGCTGTTATTGCCGTTGTTGCTGATGTTGCCATTGTTAAACCCAGAATTTTTGCTGTTATTAGACACATTAATTGTACCAGGATTGTTATCAAACTCAAAATCATAATAAGATTCGGAATCATTAACAAAAATATTATTATCGAGTCTTAGTTCTTTATTCTTAGATTTGTTACATTTATAAGAATCATAAGATGAGGAAATAGTCTAAAAGGAGCATCGAGTGAAGGTTTTGATAGATCCATCTAGTCATTATTATAATGTCAATATCTTACAATTTTATTTGATTGATTTGTTAATGCTATTTTTTCAGCCTAATGTAAAATTTTCTTATACTGTTTTAAAAAAATTAGTTCGATACGAGTATAGTGAAGAAATATATTAAAATTAAAAAAAAATATAGTTGTTAGGAACAACTATGTGATGCTAATACATGTAAATTCATATGTTAATACGTATTTTCACCTAACAACTATAATCAACTTACCCTTTCGGATCTCCATAGTAGATTCAGCACCTTAACAACATGATCATTATCAATATTATTATCATTATATTGTTTTTTAACAGATCTTTAATACTCTGCAAGCTTTACATCTATTTCAGATATTTCATCAGAATGATATGCAGTTTCGATTACTACTTTAGCAAGTTCATCTTTCTATTTATTTTTATGAACTGAACTTAGCTGGTATTTCTTAATACTAGAGCTTTTGATGCGAATCAAATGTTGAAGCCCATCATTTCTCTGCTTTTTTTTCTAAAAAAAAAAAATACATATATTTATAAAAAATATATATATAATATATATATATATATATAATATATATATATATATATATATAATATATATATATATATATAATATATATAAAAATATATAGTATATATATATATATCAATATATATATATATATAATATATACTATATACATATACATATTAAAAAAAAAACAATAATATATTGATATATATATATATATGTTGATACGAATATATTCTATAAAAAAAAAAATACATACATCCTGCATGCGCAAATTCTTATTGGTACGACTTTTATTCACTTTCCATTTGTCAGCATCTGATTTAATTTTTACAGTTGATGCACAGCTTTTATAGTTAGTCTTGAGTACTCGAACTACTTCTTTATCCAGATATTCGAGGCTTTTATTAATACATTTCTTAAGGGCAGGAAGGATGGTAATTTCTACAAAGTCTCTCTGCTAGAGCCAGCTTTTATTCTTGTTTACTGACAAGCAGGAACTATTATATGCTAATTGTTTGGCTACCCAAAGTACTTCTTTCTGTATTAATAAAATAAAATGTATATTAGAATATATATACAGTATATTATGTAATTCAATATTAATATTATTAAAAAAAAAAAAAAAAAAAAAGACCCTAAATGCTTTCTTATACTCAGCATCTATCAGTACTAATTGCCCATGCTTAAACCTTGTCTGAGTTGGATCGTACAACATGCCAGGTGAAAATGAATTTTCTTTTTCCTTATCTTTACACCTTTGCCATTATTTCTATTTTTACTATTTTTATTAATATCATCATCATTGATATTTATTTCATCTAATAAGTCTGCTACAGTAGATGATTAGGTCCTTTCAAGATGTCCTAGTCTTTATTCGAGCAAGGCATCAGATGATTGGACCCTTTCAAGATGTTCAGACAAGGCATCAGATAATTGGGCCTTTCAAGATGTTCTAGTTTTTCTTCAAGCAAGGCGACTTGGGATCTTAGAGCTGAATTTTTTAAAATATTAGCAATAATTATTAGCTGATATTCATATTATAAATAATAAAGTTATTATTGCTTATCTTCTCTCAATACTTTTCTTTCTAAAATTGTTATATGATTAGATTTGTATTAATATTGTGTGGCCAATAACTTTATCACTCTTATTATAAGGCTATGCAAATTTAATTAATTGGTTCTCATAACTTAGTCGGCTTTTTTTTAAAATTTTATATATAATGATTTATAAAAATTTTATAAAATTTTTATAAATTGTTATATATAAAATTTTAAAAAAAGCTGACCAGGTTATGAGAACCAATTAATTAAATTTGCATGGCCTTATAATAAAAAACGTACCTTCAACATCTCTTGACCCATCACGATTATGATTATATGATCTTTTATGAGAAGGTGAGTGAGAATAATAAGTATGAAAATGGCGAGTATATAAACCAGAATGGTGAGTACATAAATGTGAACATGAACGATGAGTATGTGAATGAGAATAGCGAGTACGTAAATGAGAATATGAATGATGAGTATGTGAACGAGAATGGTGAATACATAAACAAGAAGGAGAACAACGTTTGTGATGATGAGAGCAGAAATTTGGTAAATAGGAGCTAGAATAGGAACATGAACGATGCTTTTTTCTTGAATATATAGTTTGGCATGATCTTAAAGAAGATTCAAAACAGAAAAAAGTTGATATTTTCATTATTATATAGTTATCAGATAAAAAACGACCAAAATTTTTAAAATTTTCAAAATTTCAAAACTAAAAAAAAAAACGAATGCAGAAAATCTGATACTTCTATAATCCTCAAAAAAAAAAAAATAGCGATGAATATTGAAAAAATATTTACCTATAGTTAGAAAACTATAAGAAAGTAAAGTTAATAAATCCAATATCTCTATATTCTTTCAAATAGAAATCTTAAAACAAAAAGTAATTATTGAAAGAAGCACCTATCTGTATTAGAAAGCTGATAGAAAAATCAAAAAAAATAAATAAATAATGTGAACATAAAAAAGAACTGTTCAAATAGTGAAAGATATATCTACCTCTATTTGAAATAGCAGAGAAAAGAAAAGGGAAAATTATCAGAGAAAATGAAAAAAGGCTTGTCAATTAAAGAAAGTTAACAAGAGAAATGAAAAGGAGTTATACGAAAGAATATTTACTTGTAAAAGTAATACCAGTAAGAAGAAAAAAAAAAGTTAATGAGGAGAAATAAAAAAGAGCTACGCGCAAAAATATTTACTCGTGAAAGTAATACTAGTGAGAAAAATATGAGAAAGAAAGACATGTGAAAACAGTTACTTTTTATATTTAATAAAAGAAATATGAAAACAGTTAAATTTTATATTTAATGAAAAATACTATTACACGTAAACTGATAATTTTCATAATTATTATATTTTTGTAAACACGAATTAAAGAAATAGAGCTATGTATTATAACTAATAATTTTCATGATCATTATATTCTTATATATACGTAATTAAAGAAATAGAACTATAATCATTATTCGATTGATTCAATGTTATATGATGTCTAATTCAATTACTTCGAGCTTTCAAGTTTTTAACTTACCAGACAATTCCTAAGTTCGCTAAATTCTAAATTTGAAAACCCAAAGTCTAATTTTCTTTAGAAGCACTTATAATATCATATTATAGTATTCACTACTAAAAGAAATATTCGTATCAGTTGCAATTATTGTGTATTTTATTCTTTTACCCTCTTAGATTTTAATAACAACTATGCATGCATGTGATCGATCATTATAAATTAAATATCCAAATATATATATAGTATATTTATATAAGATTTATCATTGTAAATTAAATAAACAAAATATATAAATATCAGTATATTTATATAAGATCTATTATTTTTATGTGTATATATTTTTATTTATGAATAAATAATTAAAAATATGCAAAATATAAAAGGTTAAGAGTAGTATTTATTTTGCTGATACATGTATTGATAATATTTCTGATATACTTTGACTCTGATTTTTATATTAAAGGTTAAGTATAATATATGTTTTGCTAATATGCATATAGAACATATTAAAAATCTTAGTAAAATTCGCAAAACAATGTAAACTTTAATTTCGTCACTTTGCTTTGATATATTCTAAATATTATATAACAAAAAATATAACTTTTAATTAATTTTGTTATCCTCGTTATATTTTTTTATTCAATACATATATTGAATAGTATCAGAAAATATAAATTTATAAAAACAAAAATAAACTTTTGATTTCATTATTATTGTTATTATTTTGGTTCGATATGCATATCAGAAATTAAAAATTTGTTAACAATAAACAAAACAAAACAAAATAAACTTTTAATTAAATTTTATCATTGCTTTCTATTTTGAAAATTTTGTTAACTGTAAAACAAAGAACAAAATAAATTTTGTTATTTTGAAAAATTTGTTAAAAATAAAAAAAAACAAAACAAAATAAATTTTTAATTAAATTTTGTCATTTCAAACAATTTGTTTCTTTATTCTGATATACATATTAAATAGTATTCAGAAACTAAATAATCTGTTAAAAATAAAACAAAACAAATAAACTTCTAATAAATTTTATTAATTCAATATGCATATTAAAAAGATATTTATATCAAAGCATAAACTATTAAACTTAATAAACTAAATATAAATAGACTAAAGTAGTGTTATTTCACAATATCATTACTTTGTCATTCAGTATTAATATCTCTATTATAACTTATAAAAAAATAAAATAATTGTTAAAAAATCTGCTATATTACAAAGAAAAAAATATAAGTGTAGCAAAGTGTCATGTTTCTGTAATATGTGCAATAGTCAAGAAAAAGATCTAAGAGTTAAAGCAAAATATAAAGCACAAGAACAAAAACCTCTTAAAATAAAGGAAAAATATATTATATCAAATTACTAAGTTAAATATTAGCCAAAAGATACCTCTAATAGTGAAGAGTCTTCGAATATAATAAATAAAGTTGCTTTAAAGGATCAGGATATTGCTTTTATAGATCAGAATAGTGGTTCAACTATAGTAAAATATCAAATAATGAGATATATAATTTTTCACTTCTTTCTTAGTCTAAAAATTTTCAGTTCGTTGTCAAGTAGCTACTCAAAGATTTTTATAATACAAAATTATCTTCATTTTATTCTAGTGAAGATTTGTTATTCTTTTTTGATAATGATAATAAAAATGATAATATGAGAAGTGATAAAGATTATAAAACTGAGGAAGAGAGTGAAGAAGAGGATGTAATAAATTTTAATGTATCTGATATAGATGATAGCTTAGAAACTAATATTCAAAATATTAATGAAGATATATTTTTTTTTTTCCTTTGACAGTCACGCTTTACGTATTTATTAAATAAATGCTAAGTAGTGATTTAATTGATGCTATTTTGGTTCCAATAGTCTAGATATGATAACTAATATTATTATATTAGATGGTTTAAACTTTTTATATATAATAAATTAACATTATATTTAATATTATATTTAATATTATATTTAATATTATATTTAATTATACCACTAGTTAAAAAAAGAAAAATTAATACTAAATCATCAAATATTCAGTTAAATATTTAGCTATTGAATAGTACAATTATTATCACTCAGTATTTACTAATACTGAGTGGTAATAATTGTATTATTTAATAGCTAAATATTTGACTGAATATTTGATAATTTAGTATTAATTTTTTTTTTCAAATATATAAAAAAATAATAAAAAAAATAAATATAATGAATATATAAAAAAAAAATAAAAATATCGAATATACAAAAAAAATAAAATAAAATAAAAATAAATAAATAAAAAATTAAAAAAAAAATAATATATTTCTTAACATAGAAGATTATATATAACAGTATATATAATCTCTATACTATATTGAAAAGTTTCAAATAGTTAAAACTAATCTAAATTTATCATCAATCTTATATAGCTATTAGCTGTTTTAAAATAAAAAAATAGTATCTCTTTATTATCAAAGAATGATTTCTATATTCTGCTATTATAAATATTTGATAATTAGACTTTATAAAGTTAATAAACTTATCTCCTATATACTTCTTCAAATCCTAGTTGCTAGAATAGCTTTTGAAGCTGTTGCTTGAGATTTATTACAGGATAAATTGATATTAGCTTCCTGATTATATCATCTTTTACTCTAACTTTTGTCAAAAGTATTGTACTATATAGTATCTGTCTGCTAACAATATATAGTGTAGAAACTCCACATAGGTACAATTAAGTATTTTCAGATTTTGTTTTGCCTTTTTTGTTATAATATCTTTTGAATTATATAATTTATAACAAGATTTGCATGTAGCAAATCTTGTTGTACTATTAGATATACCAATAATATTTTTTGCTATATCAATTTAAATAAGAAAACTATTATATTTTTCTTTGCTAATATTAGTTAATAAAAACTAAAAATATTTAAACAAAATATTAATACTCATATCAAAATACTGAAATCTTTGTTAGTAATGAAAAATCTATAATATAATTTGTAATACATCTTCAATTATTAATACTGAACAACTCTTCCTGACAATCTCTAAAACCAAAATGACGATGAAAAGGAAAAACTTTTATACATATAATAATACTTTATTTTCTAACATAATATATACGAGTGAGACTAGAAAAACTAGAAGTTC